TCACATTTACCTCATTCTTTTCTGAAGTGATAAAGACTGGATAGCAATACCAAATTTAGCCCATGTAAAGTAAGGGATCTATTTAATCTGAAATCCAGAAAGGTAGTGTTTAATTGATATAATAAAGAGAATACAGGCAATTACAGAGGAAAAGAAATAAAAATGAGGAAGAGAGAGAAGAAGAAACAAGCAAGATTATCCACCTATTTCCAGCTACCTGCTTGCTAAAGCAAACAAAATTCACCTAGAAGTTAAGAAGTCTACCAAAATCAGAGTTGGGTATCATGGTGCACGCCTGTCATCCCAACACTTAGAGGGCTGGGTCAGAGGATCATTGAGAGTGAAGGCCAGCCTTGGCTAGATAATGAGTTCAAGGCCATCTAAAACTGTATAGCAAGATCCTATCCAAAACAAAAAAGTCTAACAAAATCAACCAGTCAGTATAAGATTATACCCAGAACTGTGCTGAGTGATATAAAGAAATATATGGGAAACATGTATCCAAATTTCTTCCCAATTTATGATCTATCTGAAGAAAGAAAATTAGCATGTGTGAAACATGTAGAACACATTGCAAGATGATAGGCAATGATTTCAAGTACAAGCTGAACATGCTGGGGGAACTCAGGGACCTGTAAGAAGCTACCACAGGGCCATGACTCAAGTTTTCATAGAGCGGGAACTGGAGCTATACCTCCAGGATAGCAAAAGAGATGACTTGTATGTCCTTCACTATTGCATACTTGGGGTGAGTCATGCTTCAAGGCATTTGCCTGACAAAGGCTTGGAAGGAAAAGACGCTGGACCCTCAGAGGATAATTGTACATACAATTCAGGAGTAAGAAAGTGAAGGTCTGGAAGTAAATGGTGAAAGACGTCAGAGGAAGAAAAGCAAGGCTAGACAAGAGAAGAATCCGAGATGAAAGGAAGCAACTTATAAAATAAATATTGTTTTCAAGAAATTAGGTGTATTATGTGCACGTGCTAACTGCCCCCAAGAAATATAAACATTAGGTACTGTGCACATGTACTAATAAACTAGAATTGTAAAAACTGTTTTCTGAGTAGCTACTAAAATCCTAATATCTAGATGATTAGTAGATGATTAGCAGCTCTGTTCTAGATGTGCACAATATATCAGTGAATAAGAAGTATAAAGTGTTCATTCTCCCAGAGTTATTTTATAGGAAATGGGTAATAAAGAAAATAGTTTCGATGGAGATAGGTTCCTTGGAGGAAGTAAACAAGTCAATGTGTTAATTGTGGAATGTCTGGAAGAGCCGAGGTGGAATGGGAAGGGGTTGGGGAAGAGATGTTCTGGGTGAGGAACGGTTGGCACAGAGGCCCTTGGCTTCTGTTTTTAGGAAATGGTGTGGAGCCCCCCGGTGCTACTGGACAGAAGGATGATAGTAGAAAAGGACAGGAAAGGACTTTCTAGGGCCTACCTCATATGGACTCCTGTGAGTTGTGAGGATTTTGGATTTTATTTTTGATAACATGAAAAGCTAATGAAGTTTGTGGACAAGATGATCTGATCTTATTGATACCTTAAAAAGATTAAAAATAAAAAGAAATAGTGCACCTGCTGTGTAGGGAATGAACTGTGAAGGTATTATTCATTCCTGACCCCAAACTGGATCCTGTCTGCCTCTCAGAATCATAGAACCAATAACCAGACTGAAGACCAATTGAGCAGCACGAGAGACTTTTATTTTGGCCAAGAAATAGAAGTTAGAGAAAGACTTGGATATCAACTTCCTGACCCAGTAGAGATTAGGAGGTGAAAGAAATAAAGGAGAGGCTGGTAAAGACAAAAGAAATATTCCTATCTTTTCTGAAAATGTGCACAGATTTTTTTCTGAGGAATTCAGATGCCATTTCTTTTTTGTAAATGGATATTTCTTGTTCTTGTCATGGCAATTGGCAAATGGCATGGCACTAGAGGGGGGTGTCATTTAGCACACAGATAACATTATAATGAAGATAGAAATTGTTTATGGGTCACTTGGGCACAATCTGAGATTCAGTCAGTTTTAGCTGCCCTCCCCCCAAAAAAAGGAACTTCAGGCTTGTAGGTACCTTGTCCTCACAGATAAACAAGATTCAGATTAGAATAAAGTAAAAATTTAAATGAGGTCATGGAGGTAGAAGGAAAGGATGCCAGCTGAGGAATGAGGAAGCAGCTGAAACACAGATATGGTGGCTTATCCTGGGAGGAGACAATGAAAATAAACAAAAATGGTCTATGTTAGACACATTTCAAAAGTAGAGCAGAAAAAGTAGTATATAAGGCAGGTTTGTAAAGTTTGCCATGGGCAAAAGAAGAGAAATTGCCAAGAAGAAATGGTTAAAAGTGAAAAAGTTGAGTTTGGCTTTGTACATGTTAAACTTAAGGTCCTCAGCAAACGTTCAAACAGTGCTCTCCACCAAGAGCTGGAAATCCAGGCAAGACGGAAAGTAATAGCAACAAAATACATGTGAATGTGTTTCTGAGTAGGTGTGATATTTGGGATTGAATCCAGGGCCTTCACACTGAGTTACATCCTCAGTCCTTTGCTTGACTTTTTGAGATAGGATCCGATTAAGTCATTGGGCTTAAACTCGTGATCTTCCTGCCTCAGCTTCCCAGAGTGCTAGGGTTACAAGCCTGCACTACCACACCCAGCTAACAAAATATACTTGGGAGTCACCAGCCTACAGATTATAGGCAAAACTACAAGAGATTATGGAATTTAAACTTATTTAAGATTATCACTTTGTCCTCTAGATAGGCTTTAAATTATATTTTCCATACATATACACCCTCATTTTCACAGTCAGCAAATTTGCAAGAACTGAAGCGAAGGCATAGTTAGAATTATGTCTTAAGCTTCTTTCCAGAACCTTTCGTATTCTTGTACAGAAGCAGGGCATACACGGATGTGCACCAAGTGCTGGAAGTGAAAGGGCTTGGGAGAAAGCATGTTAACAGTTATTCATACAGAAAACTTCCAATTGTGAGTATTTACCAACAGTACATGTCTGATTAGGACAGTTCATGAAAGGAAAAAGGGGGAGAAGTTTCCAATCTAAGTATATATTCTACTATTTTAAGGCCTGATGACCATTTATCTTGTCCCCTCCAATTTTAGCATGTCCACTTAGCTCAAAGAACTTTTGAATCTTCTAGTAAGGTTGCTTTTGGCCTAATAAGACTTGTGCAGCTTCTTTTTATTCCTCAGATCATGTTCTTAATTAGTATGTGTGGTGGTACATAATGTGTAGCCTTCACATGTGGAGTTTCCCTCCCTCACCCTTCCTTCCCCATCCAGCCATCTCTTGTGCAGCTTCTTTGGCAAGGGTCTTCCAGCTAACTGTGATCTAATGACTTTTCTGTTGTTATTCCCAGTTGCTCTACCTGCCTTTCCGGAACTGCCCTCGTTTTCAAGAACTTCAGAGCGAGACTTTGAAATCTGAGGAATTCCAGAAGAGGATTCAACCTTATAAGGTTCAACATAGTATTACCGAGGGGTGTAATTGAGTGTTGAGAGGCAAGACAAAGGGTGACACTTCAGCAGTTTCTCCTTTGTTTTCTGAGACAGAGTCTCACCACATGTTCCAGGTTGGCTTTACTCCATAGCCCAGGTTGGCCTCAAACTCAGAATTCTCATGCCGCAGCCTCCCAAATCCTGAGCATGCACCACCATGTCCAGTTAAGCTTCAGCTTCTAAAGCATGGGATGAGCATGTCTGTCAGCAGCTGACTACAGCAATGGCTGTGAACAGTGATGTCAAACGTTTTAGGGCTTTCAATAACACAGCAGCCCCCTGCAGCACACATGGGTTCACCATCATGGGCTTAGGATGCCGCATTAGGAAGTCTTCACTCCCTGATCACCTTCCTTTTATAAATGGCTACAAACCAGTAGAAAAGCCAATCCTTTTCAGATTTGTTTCTGTGTCCCTGATGGGAACCAAGAACAAGTGTCTATCAAGACTGAAGCACTGGGGCTTTTTCTGTACTCAGAACAAGACTTTCTGAAGCTGAGCGTGGTGTTGTATGTCTATAATGCCAGTATTTAGGAGGCTGGAGGAGCACAGCAAGTTTGAAGCCAGCCTAAGCTACATAGTGAGTTCACAACCAGTCTGAACTCCATAGTGAGACCCTGACTCAAAAAAAAAAGGCGGTTTTTTTTGTTGTTGTTCTTTGTTTTTGTTCTATGCACGATCTTCTTCACAAAAGACAGGTGCTAAGCTTTGAATTTTTTAAAAACTAGTCTTTTGATTCAATTATGCATTTTGCTACAAAATCTAGAAAGAATACAAAGAAATACGTGGAGAATATATATATATATATATATATATATATATATATATATATATATTCTGAAAAGTTTGGCAGAGTTTCTTCCTCCATAACTCACCTGGCCTTGGAGCTTTTATGTTTGGAGGTTGGGGGAGGGGGAAACTGTTGAATCACTGGTTCATTTATCTGATGGACATCTGTTGGGGTTAACATTGGCTAAATATAGCTTCTTAGAAAATGTAGTTATCAGATAAACAATATCTTCCAAAAGTCATCCCAGAAATTGCTTCCAATTTCAGTAGTTAGCTACCTGTGTGAGTCTCATTATGACAATTCAAGAACACAGAAACTAGTGAAATGCTTGTGTTCCATACCTATTTCTCATTGATGGCCAGAGAGTAAGTCCAGATCCTACTGTGTTTTCCTGGAAAGTTGCAATGTTCATGTACTAATGAGAAACTAAATTAGTGTGTGTGCATGAAATTCTTTGCTTTTCATTATCATACCCAATATTACTGCACCACTTTTTTGCAAAGAAGAGCGATTCTCACTGGGAACAAATTCACATGCCAGAGAACATTTGGCAATGTCTGGAGACAATTTGGGCTGTCACAACTAGACCAGGAATGCAACTCACATGGATTGGGTAGAGGCCAGGATACTACTAACCATCGTACAGTGTGTGGGACAGCTTCTCACAACAAAGAGATCCATTCCAAGATATCAAAATACTGTATGCTGCAGATGGCAAGTACATAAATATTTATATAGAAATATTTTCCTCTGTGTTTGTTCCAGGATTTTATGAAGACCTTGCCTACACTTTCAGGATTCCAAGGCCAGGACCTTTTTGGAATTTGGAGTAAAGTCTATGATCCTTTATATTGTGAGGTAAAAGAAAAAAAAAAGATTAATTTTCAGTCTGATTTTATGATTTATGCCTACTTTGCAACAGATGAATAAATTTTTCTTCTCTTTTTGTACATCTGCCTATAGTTCATACATGCTTTGGTACTGACACATAATTCAAAGTTTCCTTGTATAGTCTTTTTTTTTTTCGGAACCGGGGATTGAAGTCAGGCCCTTGTACTTGCCAGGAAAGCGCTTATTCCACTGAGCCATCCCCCGGCCCCCTCCTTGTATAATCTTGACTTCTCTTTTGTCCATTGATACATAATTCAAGATTTCCTTTTATAATCTTGACTTCTCTCATTTTCCACTATTTATGTTTTCACCTTGTAGAAAATTGGAAACAAAGTTGCTTTCCTTCTGGACATTCTCATTTACTTATTTTGCAATCATTCAGGAGTGCTGGGTTTCTCTCAATGGACTTAAATGGAAAAAAAAAAACAGTTGTTATACAGAAAAAGGGTGAAAAAATTGCCTGATTTCTGAATATAGAAATAAACAAGCCAGCTATAAGCCAGGCTATTAAAATTTGTGTATCAGGGCAGAACATTTTCTCTGTGTAGTACATTTCAAATAATCTTTGTAACTAAATCATTATGGTTTTTTTAAAGATATTTGGTGGTTTTTGCTCATTAGGCTCCATCTTCTGGCAAAAAGGAGTATTTTCTATCCCTATTTTCCCAACCAGCACCCAAGACCTTGGGCAAAATTCTGACTACTCGCCTGACTCCCAGCTGCTTCTGAGCTGAGTTCAGCATGAGTGCACGGAGGATGGAGCTGCACACATAGTTCTCAGTAACAGAGGACACCGTGTCCCCAACCTACAGCAGCTAACTGCCCTGACCTCTATTTTTTCTTCCTTTTTGTTACAGTTGCTTTTGTTTATTCTGGGGATTAAACTCAGGGCCTCTGGAATGTTAAGTATGTGCTCTACCTCTGAGCTACACGTCCAGCTTCTTGCTATGGCTTAATATGAGGCCATATAATGAGGTACCCTTTTCATATCGCTCTTGCTCATTTCTCCTCTCCTCATTTGGCTCTGCTCTTTCACAATTTCTCCCTCCCACCACATTTCCCTCTTCCAAAGACTTAAAAACTAAAGGAATCCTAATCAATTCTTCCTACCAAGTAATGAGGTCTGGTCCAAGGTCTCTACTATTTACCATGTACAGACTAGCAGGTACACCTATGGAACTAGAAGGTCACAGGGCAGGCATAGGTTGTCAATAGCTCCAGAATTACATTCCTTGTCTAACTGGCCTGACCTGGCTTTTAAGGAAATAGCATTTACCCTGCTGGACTTTATCTTCCCCAAAAGCTTACATAAAGGTTTCTAAACCTTGCATAAAAGAACATGGTACATCTTTGCCCTATTGTATACTTTATCCACAAAATAAGAATCACACATCTAGCTAGAGTTAAGCCAAAGTTTGTGGTAGAAAGGGGAAAGCTAGTTTCTGTAAGTTTTTCTTCTGAAAAATCAGTATCACTATGTAAATTCTTTAAAATAAATAGCAAGAATAAGAAAGGGTTGACCTAGTAATGCTTAGAGATGAAAGAATATCTTTTGTGTGTGTTGGGGAGTGTTTTCTTTGAAATATGGTCTAGCTTTATAGTTCAAACTGGCCTTAAACTGACTATGTAGCCCAGGCTGGCTTTGAACTTGTAATCCTCCTGCATCAGCCTCCCAAGTGCTGGTATTACAGGTATGCACCATCACCCCAGCTGAAAAACCTGTTTGAAATCAACAAAAAAGATGATCATAAATAAAAATTGCACACACAATCTCCTCTTTTTTTATTTGCTATAGGGTATTCACAATTTCACTTTACCTTCCTGGGCCACGATGGAGACCATGACTACATTGCGAGAATTATCAGAACTGTCCCTACTGTCTCTTTATGGAATACACAAGCAGAAAGAGAAATCTAGACTCCAGGGGGGTAAGTATTTTACAAATGAAAGGAACATATTAGGTTTATGGTTGGATGGTCTGGTCCTGTGTTCCAGTCCTATCACAAATCCATGGAGTGACTTCAAACAGGACAATCACTCTTGCACCATTTCCCATTCTGAGAGAGGGCATCAATAACAATACCTATGTCACAGATAGCAAGAGCTAAAATGAATATATAGACCCAAAAAGCTTAGAACAGATAGCATCTGGAACCCAATGTGCTATTAGTAAATGATGTGTTACTATAATCATCAATATTATTCATTCTAGCCCTTAATTTTCCGACCTGGAAAGTAAAAGCTTTGGTCTAAAGCTAAATGGCCCTTTCCATCTCTTCCAGATGCAATAATCAGTGATTTGTGTCTAAATCCCAGGAAAATCAACTGGTTTATTGTACAGGATGAATTTTTCAAGTGGGAGCTTTGACAATAGTAGCTTGTTTTCCTGAAATCCTGTGTGATGAACATTGTTAAAAAAATAAAATATATCTTTCAAGTTAATCAACACCCACTGCAATCGAGAAGTTATGGCAAGTTCATTGGTATTGAGATGTGTTGAGGTTTATTGACCAATGATGCACCTTCTTGGTTAGGTTTGGCTATTGGCAGCCTGAGATGCCCTGCTATCATGAAGGCAGACCCAGGCAGTGGGATGTGGGGTCCTTGTGAGCAGGTTAGGTGAGTTTTAAGAAAGAAGCCAGGACTAGGAAGGATGAGGATAGAGGTCAGGGCTGCTGAGTGGCCAGGCCAAGAAAGTAAACAGAGGGCTGGCCAGATAGCCCAGCAGACTATAGCACCTGCTTAGGTAGGCTCAATGATCAGGGTTGGATCCCTGGCATGCTGTGCTGGCCCCGCTCCCGGCGTGCACTGAAACAGTGACTGAGACTGGGCGTAGCGGTGCACGCCTATAATCCCAGGGTTTAGGAGGCTAAAATCAGGAGGACCACAAGTCCAATCTATGTAGTGAGACCCTATAGACCTTGTACTAAATACATTAAAAAAAAAAAAAAGGAAATAAGTAGGGTGTGAGACTCACATGTGATTAATGCAGGCATTAAAATCAATTAAGGATAAACAGCAAGAGAAGATCCATTATGTGAAAGATTGGCCTAATGGGGAAACCCAAGCCTTAGGGTGAGGGTCTAAGTCAGGCTGATAATACTTTTCAGGCATTTTAAGGAAACCAACACAATCACCTCAGCATTCAGATGTTGCCAGGTGCTGCTACCCACCTGTCTACGCAGGTCAACAGAACTCTAGGAGACTGCATACGGGCATTCTGGGGGCCAAGAAGATGGGGATGATGTTCACTTCAGGTTGTGTAACCAGAGGAAAAATTCAAATCACCAAACAGAAGAGGAGTCAGGTATAGGCAGGACACCAGGGCTGCAAGTAACCAGGAGAACAGCTAATGAGGTATATAACCAGGTTAGTCAGAAGCATATTCATGTGAGATGAACAAAGTAGGTTGGGACTAATCATTCATAGAAGTGGCAGTTAATGACACGAGGAGGCTGTAGACCTGATGTTACAGAAGTCCTGCTTGTGAGGCACAGAGGCAGACTTGATAGAAAAATCCAAGCCTCTCTCCCCTCTGGGGGAATGAACAAGCCCAGCCCTTGGTTGGGGGTGGGGGGGCATATCCAATGAGAAGGCTTAGATGGAGCCAGGGAGGTTGGCATACTGACTATGCATGATACAAACTCTGTGGAAGCCCCAAGAAGAAGCCCAATCTTCTATATGCTTTACAACAAAAGATGCAGAGGCCACCTGTGGCCATATAACCACCAGGCTTCTTCTCTGACTCCCAGGCAGCAGCCTGTGGCTCAATCCTGCCCAACCAGACAGCAAATGTGGAACTTTTGATTTGCTTCCCCCGAGCTCATCATGGTGGGCTCAGGAATCCAGCCTCTCACTGCCCACCGTGTAGTCCCATTGTCCTGCAGCACTAGAATCACTCAGTGGCTGGCTTGAAAGGCAGAATCTCAGAACTCACTCCAGACCTGTTGAACTGAAAGCTGCATGTTAATAAACCTCAATATGTCTACACAAAATAGGAGTTGCCAGTAATCTGATATTAGCTACAGGGTGATACATGTATAAGTAAGGAAGGATACTGTCCTAACAGCTTGCTAATGTTTCTTCCTTTTTTTTTCTGCCTTAACTACTAGAGGATTACATTAGAGAGAAACACTTCCTCCCCACAGGTCCCAGTTTCCCCATCTGAGAAAGGCATTAAACTAGATTGTGTCTGCAAGAGTCCTTCCCTGAGATGCTCTCTGAAGGCTGGTATTTATGGCAACCCACTTGCCCTTCTTCCTGGAAGAGGTCCAGCTCCATTGATCAGACAGGAAACTGCTTCTAGCCAACGCCCAAGCTCAGCCCATTGTTTAGATCTGGCTAGACAAGAGAGATTTGCCAACTCTTTGTTTGTGTAATGATGAAGCAACTGAACAGTCCTGCACAGAAAACATCCATTGTATGGGTAACACAAAATACAAGATAGGAGGGCCTGCCCATCAGCTCAGTTGTTTAAGTGCCTGCTTAAACAAAACAGTCAGGCTCAGGATACTGTGGTTCAATCCCCCAATCCTCAAGCCAAACCTGAACACATCCTTAGGTTGCAAAAAAAAAAAAAAAAAAAAAAAGAACATCAGAAATATGACTGGCTTCCTCTGACCTATGCCAAACTCTATTGATTTCAAGGGTGATGCTGTTCCACAAGGGACACAAAAACATCCCTGCCCCCAAAATCCCCATGAATTGTTTAGAGCATCTATCTATCCACTCTTGATGTAGACCAGGGGTTTGCATATGACTGCCTGCAGGCCAAGTCCAGCCCACTGCGATTCTTGTAAGCAAAGTTACTGACACAAGCACACTCATTTATTCATGCCTTGTTGACGATGGTTTTCATACTGCCACTGAAGAATTAAAAAGTTGTGACAGATCTTGGGGCCCACAAAGCCCAAGATATTTGCCATCTGGTCTTTGTCTGGCAAATAGAAAAGGGTTGCAACTTTACTGTAGCTCGGGAATGAAGGTAGTGAAGTGTATGTCTTCTGATAATAGTGATTTGTCTATGCTAAAGGATGCCACAGGGAACTTAGGAGCTATTTTTATGCTATAGTGTGATCTAATGATTATGAACAAAGATTTTTTATATACTGGGCTCAAAGCCGAGCCTTCCAGTTTGCAAGTTGTATAATCTGGGATAAATTGCTAAACCTGAGTCTTAGTTTCCCCACCTATAGGACAGAATATTGACATGCCAGACCTGGAGATAATAATGTTACTACCTCATTACTCTTGGGAAAAGGAAATGCCTCATGACTAAGAGTTGATTCTATTAATCATTACCAAGGCTACCTCTTCCCAAAGGTATCTATTGACAAAAGACAAGTTGCTAACTTGACATGGCTGTCAGTACTTCACTTGGCAACAGAATTTGGTACCAAGATGGCATGAAGATCAGGTTAATTTGCCTATGTATTCTAGAGGACAACCTTCTCTGGGACAGAGAGATTTAGACCCATTTGAGATGCAGGATCCAATTTCTTGTATTCACGGTCTAAGCAAATCCAGCCACAATAAAGATATTGTGAATATTGCTACACAGTGCCTCTTCTTATAATTTAATGAGCTTTTGGAGGGCAGATCCCACGTCTGATCCATCTTGCACAGTGTCTGACCATAGCTGCTCATTTTGAATTTGCTGATTGGACTCAAGTCTGGGAGTACAGTCAGTTAACATTAATGCCTGCTTATTACCAAAAGCCTATAAATACCACTGGTCATTCTCAGGCCAGGTGAAATCATGCACAGTAGCAAGACCACCAAGACACAATGACTCTCTTTTGAAATCCTCACTAGAAATAGTGTGAAGTCTCTGGGTAATCAAGGCCTCAAAACAGATCTAGCAGTTAGCTATACGGTCTCTCTCTCTCTCTCTCTCTCTCTCTCTCTCTCTCTCTCTCTCTTTCTCTCTCTCTTCCCCCCCCCCAGCACTCTGGGAGGCTGAGGCAAAAGGATCTCAAGTTCAAGTTCAGTCTGGATAACTTAAGAATTTAGTGAGATCCTGCCTCAAAATTAAAATTTTTTAAAGTGGCTGGGGAGATAGTTTAGTGTAAATCCTCAGTGCTGTTTAAACACACACACACACACACACACACACACACACACGCACATACACGATGGCCCTATGAAGTACAGGCTTTAGTGTCTACAAAGAAAACAGGATTTGTGGTTGTGTGTCTGCTTTTCACTGCCTCAGGAGCAATAAGAGCTAGGCCTTTGGATCTGAAGGCAAAGCATTCCTCCTCTACAGAGACAATATATGAAAGCTAAAATGCTTGCTTCAGCCCGGTAGCAACTCCAGGGAACCTAAAGAAGTGCCCCATAGAAAATAGCACGAGGACCAGGGAGATAGCTCAGTGAAATCAATGGTTGCCTGGCAAGCGCAAGGTCCTGAGTTCAATCCCTGGTACCACCACAAAAGTCAGAAAATAGCCCATGATCTGTGCCCACATTTGGAGAAATTGCTTTCTCCCTTGGCTTCTCACAGGTCTGACCACAAGAGAGTGGGAGCAAATGGAGGCACAGAAGCACATGCCATATGCCATTTGGGGTCTGCCTGGAAGATCCCTGCTAACCACTGTCTGGAATCTAAAAAGGCCTTCCGGAATTCTTTCCGAGTTTGTCATTCTCTTTCCTAACTTGAGCTTCAGTGAAACCCAGTAGAGAAACCAGCAGTCCAGCTCTTATTTGCCAGACATCTGAGGCATATAATATCTAGCTAGGCTTCAGCTTCCTACAGGGCAGGCTGAGGGTTCAGTAATATCATATGTGTAACTCACGTGACTTAGCATGCTGCAGATGCTTAAACTAAGTTAGGTCTTTGCCTCTCTTATTGAATTCTTGCAGTAAGAACCTTCATTATCAGCAGACAGAAAGCTCATACACAAAACATAAGCCTGTGCTCCATTCAGCTGCATTGTTAATCTGTCTTCTTTAAGGTGTCCTGATTAATGAAATCCTGAATCACATGAAGAGTGCAACTCAGCAAGAAAAGTACAAAAAATTTGTCATGTACTCTGCAGTGAGTATTTTTGTCTTCATTCAACATCCCTTTAAGAGTGTACTGTCTTGTCATGGGGGGCCTCATCTGCATCTCTGTGTCTCCATCACCTGGGGCACAGTAGACACCTGCATAAAATTTTCAGAATTAAATGGTCATTCTGGTCCTTGAGGAATTTACAGTCTGATACTGAAGAGATAAAGAAGGTTGGGGATGTAGCCCAGTTAGCAGGCTGCTTGCCTAGTGTGAGTAAAGCTCTATGTTTGATCCCTAGCCCTGAAGCAGACAAACCACATACAACCATACAGAAATGCCATACAAGCAAATGCCTTAATGGCTCAGCAAAGGTCGTCATCCCATCCACTGCAGGAGGGTGGGAAGAGGAGCAGGGAGGAATTCTGGACTAGACAGCCATCAACACACCCAGGTAGAAGGTATTAGTAAGCACACCTCACATGGAGGGAATTCTTAGGGCAGAAGTGGAAGGCCAGGAACATCATGTGGATAAGCTGTGTTAGACGTTAGCTGTGCTATCCAATATGGAACCTCACAGCCGTATGTAGCTATTTCAATTTAATTATAATCACCTAGATGACAATGAGGTCCCTCAGTGGCACTAGCAATATTTCAAATATGCAACAGCCACATACAGTCAATGACTATCGAATTGGACAGCATAGATATAGATTTTTTTTTTTTTTTTGTAGTACTGGGGATTGAACTCAGGACCCTGTGCTTGCCAGGCAGGCACTTATTCTACTGAGCTATCTCTCCAGCCATACATAGAGCATTTCTAGCATCACTGAGAGTTTTACTAGACATCCCTGATATGAAGTGTCAGAATATCTGAGCTTGGAGGTAGCTTAAAAGCTCTCTTGTCCTGCATGTTTCTTGGGGGCATGGTGGAAGATCAGTGGAGACAGAGAGAAGTCCTGAGGTATTTTCTCAGGGGAGACAGGCAGGATCACAGGATAGGAGGCATATTTCAGAAGTTATTCTTCCTAGCCAGGCATGGTGGTGCACACTGTAACCTCAGCACTTGGAAGGCTGAAGCAGGAAGATTGTGACTTCAAGGCCAGTCTGAATTACATTGTAAGACCTTGTCTTTTTTAAAAAGCAAACACAGAATTAATCCTACTATAGCAAGACTAGAAGTCAGAAACAGGATATAGTATAGCAAGGCTATGTATTAGTCAGAAAAATTGGAATGAGGTCTAAAACTAGGATGAGAGCATGAAAGGAAGAAGGATGAGCCAGGTTACAAGGAAAGCTGTACTTTGGGTAAAGAAAGCCATGTTGTTATTCATGCAAGAGTGTAAAAGGGTTAAGGAAGATACAGGGAAGTTTGTTTTTTGCCAATAGCTATAAACAGAATACACTAAATATAGAACCCATGGAAAGAGCAGGGGACAGTACTTCCTTGAGAGGGATGGGCCTGCAATTGGCTGATGCTGCCAGTTTTTTAAGTTTCTGTTTTACAGTTCTAATTTGTTGAGTGACTTCTGGCGAGTCCTATCTGTAACTCTTCTTCTTTCTCTATTAAATTGGTTCTCACCACTTTGGATTATATGCTGGCATAGCAGTCTAGGCTGTCAAGTATTATCCCCATTTTACAGATGTGGAATGTGAGGGTTGCCTAAGATTAGCTCAATGGTAAATGCCAAAAACACTCCCTTGTGTATTCCAGCCACTCTGAGGCAAATATTTAACCTTACAGCTATTTTTAAGATATACTCTTTAGCTCCTCGTATTTTTGTCTCCCTACACATTTATGACTTCATATACTATTCCACAACTGTAAATCAAACATTATACTAAAAATACAAGTTAGCATACAGTGCTCCAGAATATTTTAAAATTTAATGAAAATCAATGAAATAAGCAAAAGCAGAAATAGACTTATCCTGGAGAAGGCACAGGATTTAAAGCCATCAGACTAGACTCAAATTTACTTTATTCTATCTTTGAACCACATGACAGTAAGCAGGTTACTTAATTCTCTGGGTCTCACGTTCTTCATCTTTTAAATGGAAACAATAAGTAGCACACAATAGATGCTCATCCAAAATTAGTTCTTACTCCTTCTTACTCATCAGGTCATTGGGGGTATTGGAAATTTAATTGAATCAGAAATCATCGTGGTGTTCTACAAGTTCTGATACCTAATGAATGTAAATCTGAGCCAGAGGTGCGGCTCAAAAATGATTTGTTCCTTATTTCTGCAGCATGACACTACTGTGAGTGGCCTGCAAATGGCACTGGATGTTTACAATGGAATGCTACCTCCTTACGCTTCCTGTCACTTAATGGAATTATACCTCGAGGAGGGGTAAGTACTTCAGAAATGCTTTTGAAAGCCAGTATCATTGCCTCCCTGGCTTTGCAATTATTATTATTATTGTGAGTTTAAAGGGTGTGTCTGTCCTTATGTTTGGTTTTATATTCAGAGGGAAGAATGGTAGAAATATCTTTGGTACTCATTGCTCTTTTTCTTTGTTTTCATGAAGTCTTCTATTGAGAAGTAATCTATATTACATAGCAAGTGAGACATTTGAGAGAAGCATCCAAGGACAAAAATTGCATTTTTCTTTTTTAAAACATTGAAGTATTACATAAATTACTCTCTTGGGGAAAAAAACAGCTTGAGAGATGCCAAGAGAAAAATTAAGTTGTTTGGTGTTCACATAATGATAGTTTTTCAATTAAAGACTTCAAACATATCCATGCATCATCTAATGACTCATATGTACTGGTCAGACTCAAGATTCTTAAAGCACAACTTCTGAACAATGTTTATTTCTTTGTGGTCTGGTGTAACCCTCCCTTGATGACTAGCTTGACCTCCCTAAAAAGGTCAAAGTTACATGTCTCAGTTTACCTAGCACTGAGAGACACCTGAACCATGAGTTTCATTGTTGAAATGGGAGTAGTCTGGGGCAGACAGAAAGAACTTGTTACCATCAACTACGTCACACTAAGAATTTGCATCTGGTGTGACAGTGGTATTTTCTTTGGAAAGAAAAAGGTCACCAGATCCCATGAGTTGATGGCTAAAAGCACAGAAAGGGCCAGGGTAAAATAGTGATCCAAAAGTTTTGCTTCTGAGTTGGTTCAGAGGTATAATATTCTCTCCCCTCCAGGCATTCACAACTGCTGTAGGCAGGCAGGGTCAACCTGAGCATGCAGTCCCACAAGGCCCTGTGTTTAGAAGACCCCATGCTGCTTGCAGTGCTCTGCTGGCACCATCTTCAAAGTCTCAAGGGGCTGGGGAGATGGCTCAATGCAATAAGCGCTTCCCTGGCAAGCGCAAGGGCCTGAATTCAATCCCTAGTTCTGCCAAAAAAAAAAAAAAAAAAAGTTTCAGTAATTTTTTTCAATCACAAGGCCCTGCATTTCATTTCGCAAATGTTGTAATCATAGATGTAAGTTTCTGGGTCTCTAAGTCTGTAGAGTAGAAAAGTAACAACACAGAGACCTCATTCTCAATCAGTACTAACAAAGAAAGTGCATTCTGCACAGGTAGGGAAGTGAATTCCTTCATTGAACCTTTAAGTGGATTTCAGGCACAAAGAGGTAAAACTAAAATATGGTTTTAGCTAATCATGGTCTCAAATACTTGCAACTAGAGTGGAGAGAAGACCCTCTCAATAAAGACTAGCAAAAGGACAAATGTAGATTACGTATAAAACTAAAACCCAAGTTAAAATTCTAAAACTCTGATGCAAATAAAGTATATTACTTCAGAGTAATGGGATTTCTTTTTAAAACACATAAACGAGACAATCAGGTCTGTTTTGGTATTTTGGTCTCAAAAGTACACAAATGTATGCACAAAAATATACCTGTCACTGTGTTCTCTATATTAATGGCTTTTATTGCCCCAAATTGGAATATGACACAAGTTTCTGTCAATAGAGAGACAGATCAACACCCTATGTTTATTGTTACAATGAAATACTACACAGTATATAAAAAGATTGAAAATTGGCATACTGTTACATGGATTGATCACAGTATATTGGCAGAAATAAAGCAAAGTTCACAACGAAACATTAATATAACAGTGTGAACAATAGCACTTATATTGATTGCCTTTGGGGATATGGAAAGTTTTGGTGTAAATTGTTACATTCATCTGTAATATTTTATAATAAAAGAATGAAAGCAAATGCAAAAAAAAAAAAAAGGACAAATGTACAAATGAGAAAACCCAAAACATAAAATGTACTCTTAAGCCGGGGAGATGGCTCAGTGGAATAAGCACTTCCCTGGCAAGCGCAAGGACCTGAGTTCAATCCCCGGTTCTGGAAAAAAAAAAAAAAAATGTACTCTCAAGAGCAAGCCCTGCAGAAGTCTGTTCATTCGAAGACCAAATACAGATAAAATTCTAGGATCAGTTCTAGAAGTAGGCACCATCTTTTCCGCAATAAGGTTACAGAGACTACTGACTTTCTCCAACCTTCCTCCCGTCTGCATCCCGTGGTCCCAAGTCTGTTTTATTAGGGTGTTGCAGAATTTTCTCCCACTGAATCAGTTTCTTTCACTACCTTAAGGAAATTCATTTGGTTATGAACCAAATGTAGAATATTTTTCAACTGAGAGACCTTGACACACACACATACCCAAATTTAGGGCCACACAGCAGTCAGGTTGTTGTTATGTAGTATTTTTTTTTTCATTGACACACCAGACAACTATCAAAGGTTAAATGTGATTGTTTTTAAATTGGGAGAAAAAAAATCCACATTAACATGTTTATTAAATCCTTACTGGGCCAGGGAGATAGATTTGAGAGAAAATGTTATAAGGGTTATTATTTATATTTTAAATTGAGATTATGAATCATTTAGATTACTTAATATATGCAGATTTGGTAATTTTTAAAACTATTTTACCACACCAAAGGTTAAAATTCAAAGTGTAGTTATCAGTATATTTAAACTGAAAGAATGTATGGTTTTTTTCACCATAATTTTATTGAGAAACAAATAGCAATAAGACAGTTTCAAGTCAAATTGAAAGAATGTATGTTGTGTGAGTATTATGGAAATTTTTTGATTTTTTTTCTTTGTACCAGAGATTGAATTCAGGACCTTGTGCTTACCAGGCATGAACTTATGTCACTGACTGATCACATTCTTCATAGAGAATTTGTACCTATACATAATACATGTCTATTCTTTTTTTCCACATTTCTCTCCCATCCTGCCCCCTTTTCCCCTCCTTATCTACAAAGCTTTGATTCCATTTTATCCTTTTCTCATTTTTTATTTTCTCTTCCTTCCTTTCCCACTCCCCCCCCCAGTTGCCCCTTCCTTTTGAATGGTTTTGTCCTATTTACAATTTCTATTATACATTTTGGTTCTTATTTACACTTTCAACTTCTCACACCAAACAATGTAGTATTTAAATATGTGTGTCTCATTTATTCCACTTAAGAGTATGGTCTCAAGGTGCATCCAAAATGTCTCAAGTTTATCCTTCTTTATGGCTGAGTATTTACTACATAAATTTAAAACCACAGGGTATATAAAGTAATCTGTTAAACTAAAAATATTGCTTTCTTTAATTTTTACATTTTATGAAATTTTATCCAAATTTCTCATGTGCCTCTTAGCTCCATGTTTCCCACTAGAACCAATTTTGAGCCCCCAAAACTGCTTTCTAGATGTATTACTTTAGAGTAATTTGGGCTTCTGTATAAATGAACCTCACCTCACATTCTCAGAAGAAGTTAATCTCTCGCTTGTCTAAGAGCCAGTGCAGGTTTGCTGGTCACTAGGTCCACATGAGGTTCTATGTGCAGTTCTCATGTGGCAGCCAAGCATCCAGGGTTCCCTCTCTGGATCCCTATCATGCTGAGCTCACCAGCAGGCAGACTGTAGCAAGGAACGAGAGGGCGGAGAAGACCACCGGTTTATCAGCCACCTCAGCCCAATAGGAGCACATATCCTTTCTACTTGCTTTCACTGGCTAAAATAAGACTCTTGGTCTCACCAAGGTGCCAAGGAATCTAGGAAATGTAATTACTTTTGAGGTATCACTTTTCTGTGGAAAGACCCACAATGTCAATGGACTGTTTAATGGAGCCTCAGGCACATTGTCTTGAAATAAAAGATGTTTCACTGGAAAAATTATCCCAAGCTGTAAGTATGTACTCATTAATATATTATGAAAGTGTTAGGAAAAACATCTACACCTACAATCTCAGCTATTCTGTAGGTTGAAGTAGGAGGCCTGCTCAAACAATTTAGCAAGACAGTATCTCAAAGTAAAAATTAAAAAGGAATGAGGATATAGCTCAGTGGTAAAGTGTTTGCCTAGCATATATGAGTCTTTAGGTTCAATTCATAACATGGCAAAAACAAAAGAAAACTCAAACCATTTAGGCATATTAGCTAAATAAATATTTACTTATAAGATGTGTTTCTTAACACTTTCATAATTGAAGCGGAAGACCCAATACTATTATGGACTACTGAACTCTTTTAGAATATTTTGCTGAGTTTACACACCTATAATATTTAAATGATGGAACTTAACAAAAAAAAAAGGGTATACAGACGAATGTCCATTTTGTATCTGTGTATTCAAAGTGGTTAGGATAGATATATAGCTACATTCTCTTAATGAATAGAGGGATTTGTTCTAATGGTGTTTGTAAATAGGATATCAAATCCGCAACTTGTATAGCAATTGACCACTAGGAAGAATGTATGCAATGTGTTAATTATTGAAACTGTCCTACCAATTTGATTTGAAACTGTCTCATTGCTATTTGTTTCTCAATAAAATTATGGGAAAAAAAAGTTCACTAACACCTTTGAATTTCTCTCCTACTCTTCAGCAAATAACTTCTAAAAGCAACACACATTGGTTTTTTCAATGCTGATTTAAGCCACTAGCTCTTCCCCAAATAGAACTTTGTTGAAATGAAAGTTGAGGATGCTCACCTTAATGTCACACCAGAGTTGAATAGATAGCCATACCTTTCTGGGGAATAATAGTTTATAAAGTCTTCCCATATACTCAAGAGCATATCTTATTCAGTTCTATGTTTATGGCCTATTTAAGTAGAGGGGATATACAATCAGGAAAAGAATTAAAAAAAAAAAAACATTGAGAAAGGAGAAGAGAAAAGAGTAAATGAGAAGCATGAAAAAGAAGAGTAAAGAGGGGAAACCCATGATCCCCATTTGCCTTTCATTTCACATCCAAAGCCTCATCAAGGACATGCCCATCTCCCCCAACCATCTCCTCTCAGCTCTTTAAGCATATTGTTTGTTCTGCTCATCCCCCGGTTTACCTGATAAACCAAACCACCCATTTCCAACCTCAAATCTCTTCCACCTGATCCAGTCTTCCATCCCACACTCAAGTTGGCTGCAATCTTGTTCCTGTAAGTTCTTCCACTAGTCCTTTAAGAGACCTGGTATAGCTCAAGCAGAAAGTGGACATTCAACATTACAGAACTAACAAATTTAGTGGAAATTCAGCATTACAGAACTAACAAGCTCTCTCCTCTGCCTTTCCAACCAGTAAGTACTTTGTGGAGATGTACTACCGGAATGAGACTCAGCATGAGCCATATCCCCTCACGCTGCCAGGTTGCACCCACAGCTGCCCCCTGGAGAAGTTTGATGAGCTGGTTGCCCCTGTGATACCCCAAGACTGGTCCACGGAGTGCATGAGCACAAGCAACCATCAAGGTACTGAGGACATAATGGATTAGTATGCACATGCACACCAAGCTGTGCAGAAATAGCAGACCCTTCCCAAAAGCAGTTACTGTTTTGAGAATGTACTTTGGCTGTTACCCTCAACTTAGAAGAAAGAAGTGGGTTCTGTGTGATAATTATATATAAAAACACCCTCCTCCAACCTCAAGCACTGTCTACCTCTTTGCCTAGCCCTGCCTAGAATTACCACAACCTTAATTTCTTTGTTTTGTGTGTCTGTTTCTTTGTTCTGTGTTAATATAAAAGGACTTCAAATATTATCAGGTATAAAAGTAGGTCAAAGTTCATGGGGCTTCCCTGATTGGTTACATAGCACCCTTCATCATTTAAGTTTCCAGGTTTTGCTTGAGCAGAATTAGAGGAGGAAGTACTTGAAATGTCTGAAGTGGAACAGATTTCAAAGGAAATCTGTAATCTAGGGTTTAATCCTAAGAAAAAGGAAAGTCCTTTTCCAAAAATATGTCCCAAAATGAGCAAAATACCAATTTATCCAACAGTTCCAGCCTCTGTCAAGAAGAGGCGAAAGATTAAATACAGTGATGGGAACTGAAAATTTTCTTCACTGGGAATGTGATGCTATTCCATATTTCATTTTTAAGTTTAAACATACTACATAGAACTAAAAAAATAAATGCTTATTTGTATTCTTTTGCCTCCAGAATATTTGCTTTCCTTTTAAGGAAACCAAAATCAAGCTTTCTAGAACAATTTGATATTTGTAATACATACAGAAGTTCTTGGAATATATGCAACATAGCAAATGAGTAACTGGACGAGAGCTAACTGTTTAGCTACAACATACCAGAGAGGTGGGCACTACATGGCTTTCTCCTAAAGCACAGTACTTTAGATGGTGAATCTAAAGTTGATTTAAGCACCAGCCAGGTAGCTCAGTGGACTAAAGACCCTGCTTAGGCTGGCTCAGTGACTGGGGTTTGATCTCTAGCCTGCCGTGCTGGCTTCACTCCTGGAGTGCACTAAAACAGTGATTGAGACCAGGCATGGTGGTGCCTGCCTGTAATCCTAGCACTTAGGAGGCTGAAAACAGGAGGATCACTACGGGTCTGATCTGTGTAGTGAGACCCTATAGACCCTGTACTAAAATACAATAAATAAATTAATTAAATAAAGTTGACTTACGATGCACAATGACACATACCAAACTGGAACAGAACTAGAAATGTAAGAATGTCCTAAGTGCCTCAAATTCAAAACTTACTGAGATGCTAAGAATGTGGTTATGAAATCTGCCCAGAGGACAAATATTCTGGTACCTTCAGAAAACCTAAGTAAACTCATACATCCAACTGAAACTGCTCATAGTAGAAGAAGCAATCACGTTTAAATGACACTCTTTAGGGCCCTATAGATTCGCCATGTGCCAGATGCAGCATAGCTAGAGAACACCAACTTATGTTTCCATTATGAATAAAGATAAGATAGTATCCAGAAATTGTTCCTACTGCATCCCAGAATCTATACCAAAAGCATTCCCTCTCTGGTTCGTCATAACATGATTGACATGAGACATTGATTGATGTGCTTTTCTGTGTTATTTTCCAAGGAAATAACTGTTGGGATGATCATTCATGCTTGTAACTTTCTTCTAGAAGTGAGTTAAATGTAAAATAGTGAATAAAGTCAATATTAGGAAGTTCAAAGGCATTACTTTTATAATGAACTTTGAAAGCTTGTGTGTGTGTATTTACTTAGAATAAAAGTCCTACAGGAAGTTTTCAAGGGCTCTCTTTGTTTGGGCATTTTGTTTTAATGTAACAGAAAAGAGTGTATTAATATAAAGTAAAAGTATTTGGCTGGCTTAAATGAATAAGTTGCAGTGAAAATGTAGTTTGAACTTACTTCAAATAAGGGCTAAACTTTGAATGGGTCTGCCTTGTCTATTTAAATTAGAACTTGTTCTGTAATCCCAAAACTCTAAGAAGCTAAAGCAGGAAGATCACAAGTTCAACTTAAAAAAAAAAACTTTTCTCATAATTTAAAAGATAAATTTAAGATAAGATCTTGCTATGCAATATATCACTGTGATCCTCCTAACTCAGCCTCAGGAGTGCTGAAAAAATAGGTGGGTATCATCACACCCCAGCATTCAAAATTTAAAAAAAGTAAGTAAAGACTAGGGATACATATCAATGCAAAGTTCAATCCGCAGTATGAAATATAAAAATAAATAATGGAACTCACTAAGACAAGAAGTTCAAAAGGTAGTGTGGAAGTAGATGTACATCACACAGAATAACACAGGTTGCAATGGGACAAGAATCCCCAGATTTCTAGGAAAAGAGAGCAAATGAAGAGGCAACAGCTGCATTGTGAAATCAGGCTGGATGACAAGGTTTCTGATAATGTATTGCAAGGTACTAGAAAGGCATTTACCAAACACAAGCTGGGAAGGATAGGGGAGCTAACTCCACAGAAGTTTTGCACTTCAAAGAGATTCCCATAGGGTGCATTCAAGGGGTCATTTCTACTAAAACAACATATCAGCTCCATAAATAAGCAGGAATTTCATCTGTTATTTTTTCTGTTTTACCTGGCCTCAATAGAAGTGCACAGGCCAGGAATCGATTGGTGCGCAATAAATATTTACTTGATAATGTGTAATTCATTACCTTTCCTTCCTGAATCTAGTCTTGCTTAGAAGCAGGTGAAAGTTTCAAGAAACTTGGATGTTATTCAATGTTGGTAAATTCCTGAGCAGTAAGTGACAACCGAGCTGAGTGACCATAGCTACTTTTAGAGTTCACTGATGTCTGGAAAGCTGGAAGGTTTGAATTATTTTTTAGTAAGCCTGCCAAATTTACCAAATAAAAGGGTAGGAGTCTCTGATGCATTTGAAAAATAGATCTATCTGGTGAATTGTTGTAATTTAATGACAAAAAGTAAAACACAAGACATACAGGGTGCTCTGAAAAAAACAATATAGGAAGCAAGACAAAAACACTAAATACAGCTGGAGAGATAGTTCAAGGACATAAGCGCCTGCCTGGGCAAGCCTAATGTCCTGAGTTCAATCCCCAGTACCCCCAAAAAACACTAAATACAGGACATGTCCTGCATATAGGAGATGCTTGGCAGACTACCTCTTTTGAGAGTTTCTCCCCATGAAATTTTCCCCACAATTATAAGCAATACTTCAGCTACAGGCAAGTCTGAAGACAAAATAAGCCAGATCATATCAATTAAATTAACTGCAGTCTTTGCCAAAAAAAATGTAATTGTAAATGCTATATTACTTGAAAATAATAAAGTTTGGTTTTTCAAAATGCTTCTTTAATTCTAGAATTTTACTAACACTGTCAGACTTTCTTCATTAATGTCACCCTACTCCCTACCTCCATAGCTAGTTATAATTATATCATAAGAGGAAAAAGGTTCAGGTTCCCCCATTCTGTCTGGAAAGCTGAAAATCTACAGTGCATATTCACATGCCCAGGATTCAACTGGGAGCTTCTGCAAAGCAGGATTCACACCTTTTTCCTCTTTGAATCTTCTTCTAGCAAAACCTGGTGCCTTCTATCAGTGTTTACTGATTGAATATATGTTGACCGTTTCATACTTGACCTGAATTCTTCATGACTAGGCCCAGATATCAGCAGCCTGAAACTCAGTTGTCAATAAATAGAGGAGAGTATCTAGGAATGGTGCTCAAAAGGGTCGGCTCTGTAAAGATGCAAATCACCATCTATATAGGCACATAGGCTCATGCCAACATGTCTGCATGTTTTACATCTGTTTTTGGCATAGTCATCATGACATTGTCTTGTTTGTCCACTGCTGTTAAAAGCCCCTGCTTACTAATATCCCTTCTGGAACCACTATTTATCTCTCATAGATGAAACCATCTAAGTAAAATGACCTTTCTTCACTTGTATGACCATCACCTTCTCACTGCCATATCTCACTGTCCAAACATGATGACACTGGCACTTGCCATGGTATGCAGTACAGTAATTCACCCCACACCCACTGCTGCCCTCAACCAAGAGAACTCTCACAACAAGGACCTAACCCACACCCCACCCACGACACCAGGATCCAACCGCAAATCAAATCAATCACATGATTTTGCTTTCTTCTGATCTGCCAAGCAGGGATGAAGAAAATTAAAGTGCAAGCCTGTTGTCCTCCTTTCACACTATGAAGGTTCAAAGTTGTATTCCAGGTTCGGCTGAGTCTTTCAATGCTGCTTAGTAAATGCGCTCACTCTTACTAGACCATCTTCCTACTTGCTGCAGAAAAGATTTTCATTTCCCCCAAACTTCAGGATCCACTTTGTCTTCTTTATTTTACCAGGCAGCATAATCCGTTGATTACTCTTTTAAATTCTCTTCTCACCACCTCAAAATGCATCAGCACCTTTAACCTTCCTCTTCTGCTGTTCCCCAGGGAAGCACACTCCTCCTTAAACAGACTTGTTCTTCTCACTGGAGTGTGATCCATCCTGACAGCCTCCTCAGGACTTCTTTGAGTGGCTTGCATAGCTTTGTTTTCTATCTCTGTAATGACTGTGAAATGTCCAAATGTCCAAATGTCCTCTCTTCAAAACACCTGCAAATGCAATGTGTGATGGTATACGCATGTAATCCCAGCACCATGGAGGCTGAGGCAGGAGGATTGCAATGAGTTTAAGGCCAACCTGGGCTACAGACTGAACTACACAGCAAGACCCTGTCTTTAAAAAAAAAGTGCTGGCCCCATTTAACTCCCTTCAGTACTCATTTTTAAAAACAATTTTATTAGTAGATACGTGACCAGGACACATAGTGATTGCATCCATCTTGGGGTACTGGTACATGCAAATATTGCATCTTCATCATGTGCACCCTCATGTCCCTGCCCTTCCTTTTCCCTCCTTCCTCAAATCTCCTTTCCATCTCCACAGAATCCTAATTTGCTTGACCTAATGATTTACCCCATCTAGTTTTACTTGCATATTTCCTTCTCAATTA